AATAATCATAATTAAGGTAACTTTGTTCTTTTAATTGCATATTTTTAAGAAAATTATGATAGAAATCTTTATAATTGCAAGACACAATTAATAGTATTTTTTGTAAAATTACAATAGATTAGTTATATTTAAATTAATTATTTTTATGCATTTGAATTATATGTATGTTTTAGACATTTCTTCAATATGGAAATCCGATAATGAGATATATAGTAAATCTAGTTTTGCTAGATATATTTATTCTACTGTAGCACGCGCTAAAAATATGAGTTAAAAATATAATATCTAAAGAAACATACTGTATATCGCTTGCGAATGGTGAATACATACTTTTTTAATAATACCTTGCTCACAAAGCATGTTTAAGATCTTGCGAGCGAGTGTTCCATTGATCTTGAAACGGTCTACAAGAACCGATATTGAAATCATACGGTAATACATAACGTCTTTATAAATTCTGTCACTGAGTGCTTCATCGATAATTACTGAATTATTTGATTTATCTTTTACTTTCCCTTTAGACCATTTTTTTTTAGTTTTGCCTAAAAAAAATTAAAAATATTTTTTAAAAAAATATAAACAATATTAATTTTTAATTTCAACTACATACCTGTTTTACTTTGTGCCGCTGCTGCTTTTACCATTTTCCTTTAATAATTTTTTTTAATTGACGGTTTTATGAGTACTTATTTTTTGGACTGTTAATTTATCGTAAACGTAAATTAACATCTGTTAAAATATAAATGTTTAGAAAATGAGAAAAAATGTATATTTTTAATCAAATGTTTAGAGAAAACGTATTTTTCGTTCTTTTTTTTTAATTGTGTTTTAAAAGGTATAAATTTTTCTTAATAAGTTTTATATAATGATTTTTTTTATTAATATAGGAGTATCAAATTGTTTTATATTTTGTGAAATAAAGATTTGTATAAGTTTTTCTTTATTTTTTCTTGGACGTATACCTTACTACGTGTACAATTAGTTTTCACTTTTTGTAAGGTGGTATATAGCATTTGAGTTTTACAGATTCTATATATACAAAAATACATTTAAAAGGTTTTGGTTTTTTTTTTTAAAGTTTTTGTTGGATTTGGTTTGAGGTTTTCAAAACTAGAATAGAATTCTAGAAATTGAAAAGAAGCATTGGCGGTGTTGTGGCAACGTATAGGCATACGAAGCTTTACCTATTCAACAAGACTGCATATGAAATCATATGTACAGATTATTCAAATTCCTAGTGCAGACACAAATTTACAGCCATCTATTCTTCTGCATTATGATAAAAAAAGATATTTGTTTGGTGTGGGAGAGGCAATTCAACGAACATGTGTTAGTAGAAAAATTAAAATTAGAAGAATTCGGGAAGTATTCTTAACTTTTGGTTCGAGAGGTGTATGGGAAGGCTTTGGCGGGTTTCCTGGTGCGTTTTTTGATTTAAAAGGGCTTATGCTCGTAATATATACTATTAAATCTAGATGACTAATTTAATTTAGGTCTTTTTTTGACATTGGCTGATCAGAATCGGTTTGAAAATGATGTTACAATCCATGGACCCAAAAATACTCTTTATTTGATGTTAACTTTAAGGCATTTCATCTATAGGTTTATTAATTTATGGTTATAATTTTATAAAATTAAATTTTTTGAAGGCCGAATATTAGAATTAAGATAAACGAATTTAGATCTGAAACCTGTAGATTTATTGATGAGAATCTTACTATTATTCCTGTTATTTCTTCCCCATCCAATTATGAATTTAATAATGAATCATACAAAATTGAAGGTTTTTATGATAAAAAACGACCTTTTGGTGAATTTTTATATGATAATGATGACAATGAGGAACTTATGCAGGAAATTCTTTTCTCTACTAATAATCAAGTAAAGGTTACACGTTTTGAAGATAATCATGATAAAAATTTATTATCTAATTCCAATAATATTAAGTCTGGAGTTTCCCAAAAGAATTATTCAAAAATATTGTATTTTGATAATGATATGCAAAATAAACTTAAGACTACCCCTTTTCCCTTGTCTGTGACTTATATATGTGAAGGGCATTTACAACCTGGTAAATTTGACCCAGATGCTGCTAAAGCTTTAGGTGTTATTCCTGGACCTCAGTTTGGGAAACTGTCGAAAGGAGAAAATGTTATTCTTAATGATGGGAGGGTTGTATTTCCACATCAAGTTATAGGTGAATCTCGTCCTGGTTCTATTTTTATCATAGTAGATTGTCCAGATAAAAATTATATTGAACCGTTAATTCAAAAGGATATTTGGAATATGTATTATAAAACAGGAAAAAAGAAAGTGCAGCTTATTATTCACATGGTTAATGAAGATGTCTTAAATGATAATCGATATATTGATTGGATGCATCGATTTAGTGAAAAGGTTCAACATATTATTTCCTGTCCTTCTTTGTGTCCTGATTCAATAACACATCGAAAAGTAGCTTTACAGCAGTTGAAACTAAATAGATTATCTAAAGATCATTTTCCCTTACCACAATGTATGTCTTTTCAATCAAAAAAAAAAGAATTGGATCTAGCGAATTTACTTGTAACTAATATTAAACCTTTACAAAAGTTTATATTGGAGCCTTTTCCATCATTTCTGGAAAATGAAGTACCCTTACCTATTGATTTAAAGTCCCCGGAAATTTTTCAAGGATTAGACATTTATTTATCTCTTGCAAAAGAGGCAAATAATAATATTCTACGTGATCGGGAGAAAAATCATATTAAATCAAATATCCCTGGTTCTAATGTTAAAGTTATTACTCTTGGAACAGGTTCTGCTTTACCTTCTCACTATCGAAATGGTAAACGATCTAAAGTAATAATTTCGTTTAACAAACAATTAGTATCTTCAACTCTTCTCAGGATTCCTGATTATGGTTCAGTGATATTAGATGCTGGTGAAGGAACTTTAGGTCAACTATCAAGGCAATTTGGGTCAAATTTAAATGATTTTTTGGAAGATTTAAAATGGATTTATATAAGTCATCTTCATGCAGACCATCATTTGGGTACAGTTCGAGTATTGAAGGAATGGAACAGGGTAAATTACGGAAACAATAAAGTAATTTATGTATCTGCTCCTTGGAAGTATTTTTATTTTCTTCAAGAATTTTCCAATATAGAAGATTTTGGATGGAAACGTATAAGAATGATATTGAATGAGGATGTATGCGAAGATATGAAGTTTAAAAAAGGTGTTTTTGGTTTAGACACATCTTCTACAAAGTATTCTTTTTTTCTTTCATTCTAAAGCTTATAATAATAGTATAAATAATTTATTAAAAGACTTATCTCTCTTATCATTTTCTACCGTTAGTGCGATACATTGTTCATGGTCTTTTAGTATGCAAATTACACATAAAGATGGTTGGAAAGTTGCCTATTCTGGAGATACAAGACCTAATGAAAATTTCATTAAACTTGGAATGAATTCAACACTATTGATCCATGAAGCGACCCTTGATGATGATAAACTTGAAGAAGCTATCAAAAAAAAACATAGTACAACTAGTGAAGCAATTGATATAGGAAAAAAAATGAACGCTGAATTTACACTTTTAACTCATTTTAGTCAGAGATATCCTAAAATTCCAAGTTTTATAATAAATAATAGTAATGATAAAAATAAATTAGGAATTGCATTTGATGGCATGGAAGTCAAATTTTCTGACTTCTGGAAACTACCTTATTATTTAAATGCCCTTAAAGTTTTGTATGCAGATGAATTTAATGAAAAAGAAGATTTTTATTTAGAATAAATTGACTTATTTATAAATAATTTTATATTTAATATTCTTGAAAATCAATCGTATGTTCGTATCTCTAGTCAGACACTCGATTTTTGATAAATATAAACAAAACAGAATTTTTAAAATTAAGTTTTTATTATTAAATATTTATGATTTTTTATGGAGACACTTTATGAATGGAATAATGAGTTTTTGACGGAGCATCTTACGTATCCGCCTTTGTCTTTAATTGATGATGTTATCAATACGATTAACACGTTACTTTATGAAGCTGTGGGAGCTATAGAGCAGTATATGCATCATTTACCCTCATCAACTATATCGGTTCAAGAAATTGAGCAGGGAGTTCATCAGATCGAGACATTTTTAGAAAATATAGTGGATAGAAACTTTGATGCATTTGAACTCTATGCTTTACGCAATATTTTTGTTGTTCCTGAAAATATACGTGGTTGGATGAGACTGAAACATCAAATGGTATTTATGTTATATGTTATTTTTATATCTTAGTTTTTTAGGATGTTGATTTTTCTAAATCTGAGAAAGATTTTGAAAATATTCAATCTGAGATTTCTCTTGTAAAAAATAAAATATACGCGGTTGTTCTGATTTTTTCTGTTTGTTTTTGCTTATTCACATAGGCATATAAGGTTTCGCGTGTTCTTGAGAATGAAAAGGCATTAAATGAATCGATACTCGAAAGACTTCGTGCTTCAACAAAACAGCTTGCTTTTTTGTCAGATATTTCGAAAGAATATGATGGTTTGTTTTAATTTTAATTAAATTTGTAATGTTTATTATTTTTAGTGAAGCCTTTGTTTGAAACAACCGATTTTCTTGTGAATCAAACTTTAGTTTTACAATCTCTTTTAACAACTTTGCGATCTTTGGGTTTTACGTATGATGGAAAGCCACTTGCTTCATTAGAACGTGAATATTACATCGAAAAGTCTATTCTTCATCATCTTTCAGTACTTTCTGATGAAAATTGTGATCCTGTTAATGCTATAGATTCTCAACATCTTGTTCGTCGTTTCTCTGATCTTGAATAATTACTCTTTTATATTTTAGACATTTGGTATGCGTGAGATAATTTGCAGTAGTTTTGGATTGTAAATATTACCTAGTATTTGTTTGGTCTTTTTATTTCTTTATTGATTAGTATTTGTTTATCACGTGACTTGATATTAATTTATAAGTTTTTATAATGAGGATCTTTTCAAGTGGGCTGGTGGCGCAATGGCTAGCGCATTGGTTTTCGGTTATTTCCTGACTTGAAATCACCAAAGGTTGTGGGTTCGAGTCCCATCTGGCTCGGAGAGTGAGTTTTTGTTGGTTTAAGATTTTTGTTTTTGATATTTTTTATATTATTAGCTTTGTTTGTAGTATAAAGTATTAAATATTAGTTATTGGGTTTAAATATTGATTAATTTTGAATATTTAATTTTAATGTTATGTTAGATTTTAGGTTTGGTTTAGGTTTTATCTTTTAATAACTAAAACTTAAGTTAGGGCTAGTGGATATGAATGTTTAAATTTATGTATCTATTTGAAAATTTAAATGTAATTTTTGAAAGCTAAAATTAATATTATGATTCATAATTTTGTTTTGATTGGATTATTTTTACTAACTTGGCTTCTTGTTTTATGTAAGACTAGGTTTCCTGGTTACTGTTTAAATATGTTCTATGAAATTTTATGCGTTTTTTATAATTCTTTTGTTTTTATGTTTAGTTTATTGAGGTTAGTGGTTTTTATATCTTTTTTTATTGTTCATATTTCGGAAATTTTAAGTTACCAATTACTCTTATTCTTTAATTTAGCTTTGATTTATTATTTGGCCTTATTTAATTATCTTATTTGAAATAACTTTTCTCCATTATCAATACGTTTATATTAATGGTTATATTTGGTCTTTTAGTCTCTTTTGGTCTGTCTAATTAAGGCTTTATTTTTCTACTTTTACTTGTGTAATTGAATATTTAAAAGTATTCATTATTTTAGTAGTCTTTTTCGTATATAGAATCTCTATATATTCTATTTTATATTTCTTTTTTGTAATTATGGTTTTTTCTATTTTAGCATATTATTAGATGTGTTCACGTGATATTATGGCCTTATATGTGCTAGGGTTAGGGTTGGACGATCTTTAGTCAAGTGAAGTTGATTGACAACTTTAATGAACCGGTTAACAAGTCAGTTGACAGAGTCGTTAATAGACGAGAAAAACGAGAGGGATAAAGAAGAAAGAAATGGAAGAGACGACGAAAATGTTTTTCTTTTTGTTCCCAATTTAATTGGTAAGTTTGTCTTTTAAGGATAATTATTTGTGTACTAGCAGTTGAGTATTGAAAAATTGATATTTTTGAGATTTTTGAGTGTAATTAAGTAAAAGGAAGTTTTTGAGAAATTCCTTGAAAGGAGTGAATGGATAAGTGCTTTTTAAGTGTTTATTGATAAATATAGTTTATATTTTTGAATGGATACTGATAAGGAGTTATTAACAGGATATTCGAGGATTTTACTGGCAATGGCGTCACTTAAATACATGCCGTATCACCCGAAGTAAGTTATAGCTGACGCAGTATAATTACTGTGCCCTTTTTATGAATTTTTGGCTAATAAATAGGTATTGTACTTGGCTTTATATTTTATCGTGTTTGTTGGACGCGTTTGATGGAATGGCGGCTCGATGGTTAGGTCAATGTGTGTGAGCACGTACGCCCGTGCGTGCGGTGCTGATGGTTATCTAACGTAGCGACGAAATTCGGTGCTATTTTGGATATGGTGACAGACCGGTGAATAATATTGGGGCAAATTGCCCATATGGTGTAAAGAGTTGTCTGAATGTTTTGAGGTGTACCACTTCATGTTTGTTGTGTTTTCTGTCGTCAGCATATCCCGCGTATACGATAACGTTTCAATTTTTAATTTCTATCGATTTGGCTAGTCATTATATGCACGTTTTTTCAACATTAGCGCAAGGTAGTTTCTCTCATAAGAAAATTCCCGACAATCAAAGCTGGATTTTGAGACAATATTATCAAAATAATGTATATTTTTATGTTAGTGTTAAATTGATTAATATGTGTATATAGATTATTCTTTTTGTTTTTTGTGCTGCGAATGAACTTTTTTTTGTAGCGTTATATCTTCTTTCTTTTCCGGCAAAATCACCGCCTCGGCTTGGTAAAATCATTATTTTAATGATTACAACTCAATATTATTAGGTTATATTTTTAACATTCCTCTTTCATATCCTGTATTAATTGGTACTGTAAGCTTCCCTATTTGTTTCGGAAAACAGATTATTAATATTATTCAAATGGTTAATGCGGCAAAAGCGCTTGTTGATGTTGACAAAGAAAATAGAAGGAAAGCAAAATTCATGTAGCAAAGCATTTGTTTTTTATATAGTAAAATTACAGCTTTTACAATCTAAACATGATATTTATAATTTATATTATGTGTTTGTGTTGATTTGCGTCATTGGAATTATTTTTATTAAATTCTGTATAACAATATTATACATTTTTTAAATAGTTTGAGCTCAATTATGGTATCGTTTATTAGTCTTTCAAGCGTATATATCCTCGAGATAATGCACGTGCACCTCTCCCAAAGATTTCTCCTGCACCTTCTTTATCCATTTCCAAAACATTAAGTGCATCTCTTATTGTAATTATTCCTACTTCTTGAGTAGGTTGTATAGAAATAGTTTTAGGACTTATTTGTGAATTATTTTCTGTAATTCGATGTGCCTTTGTGGCATATCCTAATGATAAAGATGGTATTGAGGTCATCCATGAATATTTTTTTCCACCTGGGCCATTAGGCCCTGATCCCATCATTATTGCTGCAGTAGTATCTGTGTTTCGCTTCTGAGTATCTTCTGAAAGATTTTTGGATGTTGAATTTATTCCTGTTTCTTTTTTTTTCTTTTTTTTGTCCATATCATCTGGATTCCCCGATAGCGATCCGTATTTATCTATTCTACTTTTTTCTTCTAGTCTTTTTGATAATAGTTGAGCTCTTCGCTTCTCTTCCATATCTTTTTCCTTGATATTAATTTCTTCTAAAATTTTTTCAACATTGTCTATTATTTTTTTATTGATAGGAGGTAATGTAGTACGGTGTTTAGACAGAATGATCATATCTGATAAAAGACCTGCCATTCTATTGCGTAATGAAAGAGCAATAAGAGGAGCTACATCAGGATCTATTGTTTTAAGAGAATTGGAAATTGCTATTTTTTAAATTAAATTAAAAAAAAAAAAAAGTTTACCTATCCTATAAATAAGATCATTTAGTGGAATAGGGTTCAAAAAATCTGTAATTTTCGTTCGATCTTCTTCAAGAGGCAATGTATTTGACCCAAATCCATAGTCATAAGATCGACTCATATTGTGCTCTTCTTCCTAAATAAATATCAAAACTTAAATGCAATTAGTAGAAAAGTTATTACCTTTATATCAACTCCTGCAGATACTAATGCATCTTGGAGTTTTTCAGTATCTTGTCGATCTTCACTAAACATTTGTTTAAAAAAAACAAGTAATATTTTTGATGAATTACCCGGATTTTCCTGTATTGGGAGATGTGTTCGCTTTAAATTATAAATATAATTTATTTTCAATGTATATTATGTGTTTTAACCATACCTGGTCCTTTAGTAGATCCGCTATAGAGATATGAAGTAGTTTTAGGAACTGATGATGAATATGTTGGTTGTTCATAGTAATCACGAATAGAAACACTGTTATATGGTTTGTGCTTCTTTGCAGAAGACGTCGAACCTCTGCTATCTGAATAAAATATAAAATTAAAAAGATTTAAGTACTCATTTGAACTGCGTTTTAGATCCATGATTTATATTTAAAAAAATAAAAAGATTAAGTCAATAATTTTGCGGGAAAACAATTGTATGTTTAGTGTATTTTCTAATTTTGTATATATATCGTGTTTTAAATATTAAAAAATTGGAAATTTACTTTTTGTCTTTGTAGAAAATCTTAAAAAAATGTCGCTTTTTCTACGAAAAAAAAGAAATCTCTTGTAAATATCCCCATAAGGCACTTGAAAGTAGTGTTTTTTTGCTTAAAATTTTTAAAACACTTCTTAAATGAGCTTTTTATTTTACCCTTCTTACTCATCAAATTTTTGGATGTTAATCATCGTTATTTTAAAAGTTGTTTAATTGAAAAAAAAAACTTTTCTATGGGAAAAAGTGATAAATATAACAGTATTTGATATATTATTGTTCGAGAACATTATTGACTGTATTTTTAGCACGGTTTCATTCAAAATGCGATTTGACTACTATTCTGTATCAGGATACTTTACATCAAAAACCAGCAAACATCTGTATTCATCAAGAAGTTTCGATTAATTTTGATAAAATATCCAGAGTTTTATCTTCTGGAAAAAAAATTAAAACATGTTCTGTATTTCTTTTTACTTTTATATTTAATTTGAGTTTATAGATGTTTAGATATGTTGTAAAGATCGGTTTAAAAAGAATGTTAATAGTATTTGTTTTTGTTTACACTGTGGCGGTGGTTTTTGCATTAATTTTGATACGAATCATGCGCTTGAACATAGTCTTCAAGAGTCTATGCATTGTCTTTTTATTAGTGTTGAAAATGCAGTTATTTGTAAAGAAAAAATATTTTAAGACCGATTAATATGTTTAGGGTGTCTTTCTTGTAAGAATATATTGTCTTCTCAAAAAAATATGAGTTTAGAGATGAAGGAAGTACAAAAATTTGTTCAACGAAGATTTTCTACTTATCAAAAAGTGAAAAATGAAAAAAAATGTATAAAAAATAGTTATTGTTTTTTGGATTATAAGTCTTTAGTCCCTGGTCTTCAAAATCTGGGAAATACATGTTACTTTAATTCGGTATGTATAGTCTAATATAAAGTGTTGCGTATATTTAATAAATATTTTAAGGTAATGCAAGTTTTAGCAGCAAGTCGCCCACTTCATGATGTTGTTTCTTCTACACCACTTTTTAATCGTTTTTGTACACAAATAAAGGGTACTGGATCACTTATTACTGCGTTTGTTGAATACCTTAATACTGTATATTCTTGTACATCTGAAAATACAATATTTAAACCGCAAAAACTTTTTAATCAAATACAAAAGAAGCACAAACAGTTTACGCCTTCTAAACAGCAGGATGCTCATGAGTTATTGCGTTACTTCCTTGATTCTTTAAATATGGAAGAAACTTCTAATACTTCTAGTAAAGATACGCTTGAAAAATTATCCAAATCTAAACAAAAAGCATTTGAAGAGAACGATATATCGCTCATTACTGATATAGAAACTGAAAATTTCAATGGGAATAATAATGATATACAAAATAAAAGTATTACATTTATTGATGAGCTTTTTGGAGGAAGACTAGCAAGTATTGTTGTTTGCAGTACATGCAAATCGGTATTGTTGGTATTTTAAATATCTTTACTTATATTATTTAAAGGTTTCTACATCCTATGAAAAATTTCAAGATATATCATTATCAATAAAAACTCGCAATGTTACTAATATTGTAAAATATTTTATTTGATTTTTTAATTATTATAGGCATCTAATACAAAAGTAAATGGTAAATGTATTCGTTCTAAAAAAACTCGAAAAAAAAAAGTTTCATCTGGTAATTTATCGTTTGGTTGTTCTAAAACATCTTGTTCTCATTTAAATAATTGTTTCAAAAGTATTTCGATTTTCTTTTCTTTATAGGAATTATTAATTTCATGTAATAGGTGTATTTGATGAAGAATCAACACCAATAACGAGTTCGGAAAATATGTCGAAAACATGTCTTCATTTTAAAGAATTGTCTGTTGATTCCTTTCAAAAGGATAGATTGAATTCGTGTAAAAATGCGTTTGTGATGTCTGGGATTACAACTAAGGCTAGATCTGAATACATTGATCTTTTACTTTTTGAGAGAAATAATATTGATGAAGAAAAAAAGGACTCCTGGAATCTGGAAGATAGTTTGAGGCAGTTTACCAGTGTTGAAATTTTGGAAAATGAAAACGGTTACGCATGTGAGGAATGTGCAAAACGTCTTCGTCTCACTATGAAAAACGGTATTGGTAAATCTTCTCAAGTTCATCGGCGTAATTTTCGATTGTCTAATGTTAAATCTTCTAAATCTCATATAGATTCTTCTCCGTCTAATGATTCTTCTCAATTATCTTTTTCGTTTAGTTCTTTTGTTTCTGATCCTTATTCTCAGTCATCTGAATTACATATTTCTGCTTCACATATTTCTAATCATGAGCATCAAACCAAACATTCTTTTTGTATGTCTCCTGATGTTTATTCAACTAATACACCGTCTTTTCTCGATTATGGATATTCTTCTTCTGATAGCTCTGAACCAAAATCTGTTCTTTCTTCTGCATTTAGGCGTTTTCTTATTGATTTACCATTGCCACCAATTTTAATTTTGCATCTTAAGCGTTTCCAACAATCAACTGGTCGTCTCCGATCTTTTAAGAAAATTGATACATTTGTTGATTTTCCAGAAATTCTTGATCTAACCGACTATGTAACACCTCGTTTGCGTTCTGGTCCTGGCTTGTTATATATGTTAACAGGTGTTATTGTTCACATAGGGACTCTTACACATGGGCAGTATGTATTTTTTAGTTAAAAAAAAGAATACTAAATCATTTGTTCTAGTTACGCATCATATATTTTGACAAATAAAATTCAACCATTGGATGATTCTGTATCGGCAACTTTAACTAATTCTAATCTCTCTGATTCTTTAAGTTCTACTAAGACTTCTCAACATCCTCATCGGCAATGGGTTTTTGCTAATGATACACTAACTCGTCCTGCAACATGGGATGAGGTACGTCGATCCGTTGGATACCTTTTTGTATACGAACAAATTTATGATGTTTCGTAAAAATGATGTTACAATAAATAATTAATATTTATGATTTAGTTTCTTTTATATTTCATGTAATTCTTTATTTTCGTATACAATCATTGTTTTTTATATTTGTGTCTCATCTAACTTATCAAATACTTTGTTATATGAATTAATAATTAATGTTTATTTTTAAAACGTTTTAAAACGTTTTAAATATAAAAAATATATAAAACCTTTAGTACACAAAAGTATTAAATAAAATAATATGCTATACGCAGTCTATAATTATCTTCTCTAAGATAATTTATTGTATACATAATTTACAAATTGTATTTATGGTACTAAATTAGATAATTTTATAAACGTTTATTGAAAAAATTCTGCTTCGCCTTCGGCGAGGCTCGAACTCGCAACCTTGAGATTCCTCTTAGAGGAAGTGCCACATAAAAGTCTCACGCGCTGACCAGTTGTGCCACGAAGGCTATTATTTGTTTCTCTTTGAAATTAGTAATAAATGTCTTTTTTAGTTGGAAGATTTTAAATATGTATTTAAGGTATTTTACCAAAGAACAGTTGGATTTTTAAGGATTTGATATGTTTAATATCTTTTTTTGTTTGTTTGTTTATATTATGTTTTTGTTGTATATATGATGTTTTATTGAATTATATAACTATTTTTTACTTTCACTCATAATGTATGTGTTAAATGATATATACTTGAGTGCATACACTTGATTACAAGAAAAATATAAAGAACAGCTTTTCTTAGTAAATAGTTATGAAATATTATGATGATCAAAGTGAATAAATGGTGAATTTCCAGATATATATTAGATGATAGAAGGGAATAAAGTATCTTAAAAACATTATTTTTGAAACAGAAATTGTAGATAAGTGGTGAAAAATTTTAGAAGATTCAAAAAACTTGAATTTAAATGATAATGAAAATTAGATTTATATAGGTTTTTTTTGTGTATTTAAGAATGAATGTATATTACATATTAATTTTATTAAGATATAAGAATTTTTTGTATAAAAATGAACGTAGAAATATTAAGTGCAGGTTTGTCGATATGTACTTTTTGAACGATGGAGAGATTAGCTTATGAAAGTTAAAGACAACATTGTTGAAGAAACAGTAGATTGGATGCAATGGTAGATTTGTAGGTTATTAATAGCTGTGAATGAATTGAGTCAATAATAATAATAGTTGTAATCGAGAAGTGTTATTTTTTAACTTTGTGTTAATATATGATTTTTGGAATTTGGTTACGATAAATAAAATTTGTAGAAGGTTTAGGTTCGATTATAGGTAGAGTGAGTTTTCGTATTTTAGAAGGTTTAATCGTATGGTGGTTTAAGGGATTGAGTTTTGGAAGATAATATTTTATATATAGAGCAAATGCTAGTGTCTGCAGAGAGAAAATCTGCTCATAAAAGTAATGAAAATGATAAGGATTCTTATATCCGGAATAATCATGAAGATTTTCATGATAATATAACACTTTCATTGAAGATAAAATCATATTATGAAAATGTGGATCAGGAAACAAATTATGAAAAATTTGATGTTATAGATAAGTTTGAAGAAAAAATGCTTAATGGTGAGATTGATAGGTATTTATGATTTTATGTTTCTGGTGAGGAAATACTAATAAATCTATAAGATATGGTTTCTTTTCTTTTCCTCAGAAACTTCCTAAACAAAAGGGTAAAATTATTTCGCAACTTAAGTCTATAGAGATTCGAAATAAATTTATAAGAAGAAAAAAACGCATTATTCTTGAAATACCTCAAAGTTTTTCTTTAGATCAATTATTAAATCAAGATAATCTTGTTTGGTATAAAGAGGGATCTGAGATCACTAAAAAGGAGATAAATAGGATTGAGAAGTGGAGGAATATGGCTATAAGTTTACGAATGGACGGGAATACTGAGTACCTGTTTTTTGAAACAAAGAAAGTATGTAAAATCTAGTTTAAAGATTGATTAATGGTTGTACAGTTGGTTAAAAGAATTTTTAAAGGTATACCTGATTCTTGGAGATCTGTCGCATGGTATGCATTTTTATCATGTTCCGCAAAGAGGAATGGGAGTATGTATACGGATTGTGAATTAAGATTGAAATATCATGTAGTTTTTTTATATATGTATTTTTTTTTAACTAGATTTAGGAGTTTCTCCAACTTCCATATATTCACGATTTTCAAATTAATCTTGATGTTCCTCGTACTATAAGTGGTCATGTTTTCTTTCAAAGACAGTATCGAGATGGGTATGTATTAAATTTTGTTTTCTTTTTTTTTTCTTTAGACTAAAATTCAAGACAACGGCTTCTGTTTCGGGTTTTACATGCTTTATCTCTTTTTTATCCTGATACTGGTTATGTACAAGGAATGGCTTCCTTGGTTGCTACATTTTTATGTTATTATGATGAAGAGTCTGCTTTTATTATGTCGGTGAGGTTATGGGAAGAAAAAGGAATTCTATCTATTTTTTCTAATGATTTTAATGATCTTTTTTTATGTTTTAATGAATTAGAAGCTAGATTGTCAAAAACAAGAGTTGGGAAAAGACTTGTAAGTTTTTATATCCTTTTTTATATACTTATTATAGTTTGCTCTTGGGATTAATGTATCTGCTTTTTCTACAAAATGGTATTTGACACTTTTTAGCCATTCTTTGTCTTTTTGCACTCAGTTACGAATATGGGATGTCTTTTTGTGGTATCAGAGTGACAAAAAAGATAAATTTGAAATACTTCATTTAACCTCTATGGCTATAATTTTTGGAATGAAAGGTTTTTTTTACTGTTAGTGTTGATTTATATTCAATTTTGTAGATATGCTTATGAAAGCTGATTTTGAAACAGCTATGAAACTTTTAACTTCTAGGATACATGTAATAGATAACGATGCGCTTATGAAGTTAATCGAATCTGGGTGGAAATCAATAAAAAAGTATTGAATTTATTTTTTTAATTTATATTCATTCTTTGTAATAATAATGGTGAATATGAATAAGACATTATGTAATTCATTTTGATTTCCTTTTTTTTGATGATTTTTTTTTCTTGGAAGTTTCATGGTTTTTGATTCGTAAAGATTTGAAAGATTTAAAAATGTGCAAAATATTTATTGATTGGTCATTGGATTTTTATAATAGATAATAGTTATGATGCTTAGAAACTGTTTCAAATATCCTTTTTTAAAGAGTATGAGATGGGCATCATCTGGTCCTCATTCTACAAAGCATCCTCGACATCGTATATTAAAGTCAAAGTCAATTCCAGAGGGAATATTGTTACAAACAGAGTTAAATTCATCACTTTTTTATAATCCTCCTGCATCTCCTCCTGATTATAAAATAACGCCCTATTCTTTACTTCCAGACACTGTTAAAAAGTTGAGTAAAAAACCTGTTTTTCAAGGAATGTTACCGCCATCATTATCTCCGATTAAACAGAAAAAGTACCATTTAACTGATGAAGATATAAACAAAATAAGGATGTTAAGGGAAAATGGGATGAGTCGTTCTAATATAGCGAAAAAATTTAATGCATCTCGGTTTTTTGTTGGAATGGTTGCACCATTAAGTAAAGAAAAAGTAGATGAGATCAAACGAAAGCATCAAGAAATTAAAGAACGATGGAATGACCGTAAGAAAGAAGTAATGATGAATCGAATGAAGAGAAGAAGACTCTGGGGAAAAGAATATTAACTAATAAGTGTTTTGGAATATATATTATTATTACAAAATATATTAATGTTTTATATAGAAAGTGTTAATTTCCATAGGAATACATCTCCAAAAACGCGTATAATGCATGTATTTTGTGTGAGTCATTTAACATAATTAAATATTGTTTTCATTGATAATGGTATTGATTTATTGATTAGATTGATAATAACATTGATTATTATTCTCCATAATGTACAGTTTTATCATTAGTGACGCTTATTTCTTTTTTATCTTATGTAGAGATCAATGATTGCAGCGTTCTTTGTTAACTTTCTTTATAAGTTCTACCCATTCTATAGCACGTTTGTGAAGATCGTCGAAATTATATATTTTATTTGGCTAAAAATATTAGATAGTGGAGAAAGTGAAGAATCTTACTGTTTCTATTACCCACAATCTTCCACTTTTTCCTTCTAATCTTATTTTTATATTCGATTTTCCTAAAGGAATCTCGCTTTTGATTTTTTTCTCTCCATTGCTTTCTTCAGTCACAAATAAAGCCCTTCCTTTACTTGTTATAAGAAGATTCCGTGTTTTTTTCCTTTGTAAGAGTCTAGAAAGTTTGCTGGGGGATTTTCCTGATAAAATACCATCTTCACCCACTCCCTTTCCCATTGACATTAAAACTGGACCAAGACGCAAAAGACGCTCATTAGGCAAATCAAGAACTGATGACCAGAGCTTATCTAGCTCAGACAATGTTGTATCATCTACATTTTGTTCATATACAGTTTGTGAAAAATGAGATGAACGTTGCTTATTTTTTTTTAGTTTAGTTGTATTAGATAAAGTTAAGGGAGAACTTGAATTCAATTTTATAATATTCGAAGGTTTATTTGGAGTTTCAGTGATAGTAGAAATTTTATATGGTTTTAGTTTAGGAGGATTTGTTTTCCATAAAGTTTTTCCCCATGGCATTCCATCAAAAAATTTATGAGATTTAAGTTCTTCTATGGTCAATCTCTTTTGAGGGTTGAGAATTAATATCTTTTCACAAAGATCTTTAGCATTTGGTGGGAAATTCGAAGGAAATTGATATTTAAGATTAATAATTTTTTGAAATGTTTGATATTCATTTGATGCTTTAAAAGGTGGTCTCCCTACGAAAAGTTGATATATTATACATCCGTATGCCCATATATCAGAACTTAATTATTAAAATATTGGTAATGTATTTATAAATAGATAAGTTACCTTTTATATGCTACTTTATCTATTAATAGTTCTGGAGATACATATTCAGCTGTTCCAACAAATGAATTTGCTCTAGAAAGCTTATTCTCATTTTCTCTGATATTGTTTTCATTTTCTGTTTTAGAAATTTCATTAATGATTTTTGTAGGAGACTCTAGTATTTTTGCTGTACCAAAATCTGTAATTTTGATTTTCATTTTATCGTCAAGTAATACACTTTATACAGCGATTAGCAGGAATATTATAGACTAAATAAAGATACTTTTCAGGTTTAAGGTCACGATGAATAATATCACAATTATGTATATAATGTAAAGCGTCTAAAATTTGAGCACCATAATATCGAGTACATTCTTCATCTAATGAGCCAAGCTAATGAAAATAAGAAATACGTTCTAAATATTTTGTGCTTTACATGTTTAACAAAATTAAGAAGTTCTCCATTTGAGGCAAGGCTTAAAACAAAATATAAATTCCTTTCGTCTTGGAATGTATAATATAATTGGACAATTCCTGGGTGGTTTCCGAGCTTGTTTAATGTATCTTT